CAACGCCGCGACATTCAATATGAACGGCGCGCTGCTGCCATGCTCATTGGCCTTCGAACTTGGCGTTTCCTCGTGCAGGCACGCGGTCGATGCCCAAAACCATTGTGGACATTCGCGCGCTCGTGCCAGGGCAAAAACCAATGGGCCCGTCGGCCCTTGGCGGCGCTGGCAAAGAGCCCCACGCGGCGCTCGGGGCCCGCGCTGCACGGGCGCGCATCGAAAAGTTTAGATCCACCCCAAAGAACAAAGTGTAGGCACCAGGCGAAACAAGTTTTATATATATATATACATATATATATATATATATATATATATATATATATAAACTCCATATACAATAAATCTAAACCTTGCCGAAGCAGAAAGTCTCGCGTGGGAGGGCCCCGAACAATTTATATAAACAGAACAACGCTCCTATATAAACGCCAACAACTTTTTATATTGGCCCAGTAGCCTTAAGGGAAACGCTCCCGATGTAAACTTTTCCGCCGGCTGGGCCAGGAGGGGGCGACGGAGGCGGGCGCGGGGGCCCTCGATTGGGCTAGCGGCGCTGCCGCGCGAAGGACAGCGCCGCCGCCGCCTCAAACTGCGACCCGCGGCCGTGGCACGCGCCGCCCTGGGGGCGCCGGCGCGGGCGCGGCCGCGTCGAGCGGGCCCAGGACATCGCCGCGCGCGCGGGGCCCCCCTGCGGCAGCTGGCAGTGGTCTCGCCGACAGGGCGCCTACACTTAAGCTCCTTCGATGTCAATGCAAAGCGCTGGCGTGTAAAATCCATAGTTGTGGGGGCTGGGGCGGTTCCCCACTGTTCACAGAAGGAGCTGCCCCAGGTGCTCGTGCCCGAGCTGCCCCGGAGGAGCCACGGCACCGCACGCGCGAGGCCCCCGCCGCAAGCTGCCAGGGGTGGCCGCACGCTTCTCTTCACCGGCCTCGCGGCGTGACAGAAACAGCACGACAGAGCTTCTTGTGTTTACTGAGTGTATATGTTCTTCGAGATATGAATTGTGCATGCATGCATACATACATACATACACACACTTACTTACATACATACATACATACATACATACATACATACATACATACATAAATACGTACATACATACATACATACATTCATACATGCATACCTGCCTACCTACCTACCTACCTACCTACCTACCTACATATATACATACATGCATGCATACATGCATACGTGCATGCATACAATAATGCACACATGCACATATATGTATAGGGATATATATATATATACATATATATATATATATGCACACATCTATGTATGATTGTATGTCTGTCTGTCCGTCTGTCTGTCTGTCTGTCTGTCTGTCTGTCTGTCTGTCTGTATGCATGCATGCATGCATGCATGCATGTATGTATGTATGTATGTATGGAATCGGCAATACGTCGCCGATTAATCAGCCATAGGCCCCCGATAGCGAAGCCGCACGTTCATGAGCGGGGTGGGCTATTGGGCCCATATCGGCGATGAATGGCCGATTGGGGGTCGATGCATCCCTCCTTGAGCGTCTCCCCCCCTAACGTTGCCCCTGGGGAGGGGGGGGAGGGGGAGATGGCACCAACACAAGGGGCTGCCTGCACTGTGGAAAGGTGGCCATAGATCTTGATGTTGGGAACATCTCGGCCACCGAGGAAGCCCGAATATTACCACCATTTACCCAGATCGGGGTCGTCATCCCAGGGTGGAGGCAACCGCCGATGGTTGGTAGTGGCGCCAACCTCTAGGCATCCGACCGGGTCGGACGAAAGAGGGGGGGCATAAGGCCAGATCAGGCGTGTCCTCATACAGGCGGATTTTGAGCGACAAATGAAACAAAGGTCAAAGAAATATCCCAAATTGACAAAATTAGTTCAAATATCGTCCCCAGACTTTCTTTTAAACTATTTTCGAATATCCCTCCTGTAGAGGGACAGGCCTGACGTGAGCATGGGAAAGGGGCAGCAGCGAACACTGTGTCGTGCCGCAGGTCTCGGGCCCACGGCCAGGGGCACTCCTCCATACATTGGCGCCTCCGGCGCCGGGAAGCCCATCTGCCAGGAGGGGCAGTAAGGGGATTGGCGAATCAGCTCACGCTGTTCGTCGGGCAGGTGGCAATGCGGGGTGACCTGACTGAGGGGTGGTGAACAGGACCCTCGAGGCGCCCCTTTCTTCACCCCCGACTCAAGTCACCCCCAACACCGCTCACCCGAGTAAGATGGTGCGTATTCCCAGTGTCTCCCAGCGCTGGAGACGCCAACTTATCGAGGACTGCGACTGGCGGCGGGGCCGAAGCCAACTGCGCGCAGCAATTCGAAACTTGTTCTCTTCAGACTCCGGCAATTCGAGTTGCATGGAGGGAAGAGGAGGGGCGTGGCGAGGCCCGAATGGAAAGATGGACTTCACGCAGGTCGGGACCCACCTGCACGCCGTTTCGGCCCAGCGCTGTTTGAAGAGGCGGCGGTAGGGGGGGTGGGAAAGCCATTTCAGTAAACTTGCCCGAGCCCAAAAGGAAAACGCCCTCGTGGAGGAGTGCTCCCGGCGGCAGGGCCGAGACCAGCTGCATGCAGCAATGCTCGTAAGCGCCCCCATTCCCCATCCCCATCCCCCCCCGTCTTCAGGCCCCGAAGACTTGGTTTCCGCCAATGAAACACAACCTCTGGCCAGCCACGCACATCTCACTCGGCGAGTGCCCCTGCGAAAATCAAATCGCATCTCCGTTGAAATAACAAGGCGGAGCCAGAGCCAGGAAGAAGAACGAGGACGAGGTGGAGGGAGAGTGGGCAGCGCGGTCACAAAGAATGGTGGCCACGCGGCCCCGTCTCCATCTTCCTCCTCCTCCTCCTCCTCCTCCTCCTCCCATTTTTGGTGACGGAGGCAGGGCTGAACCTAAACAGTGCTTTCCGTTTTCGTTTGTTGTTCGTTTTTCCTCGTTTTGCCTTCGCTTCGCCTCAAATGCAAAACCGAACGAAAAACGGAACGGCCGACGAGATGGCCAGAACACCGTTGGGGCCCGGCCCTGGACGAAGGAGTGGTCGTCCGATATCAGCGTGGTCACGAGGACGAGGAGGTTGGAGAATGAGCCGCTCTTGGTGACCATGGCAATCTGGCCCCAAGAGGGGAAAGCGGGCGGAGAGGTGGCGCGCGCGGCGGCCTGGCTCGGGGATGGACAGAACGCCCCTTTGTGAAGGGGCCCCAGGACATACACAAATAAATACACACAAATAAAACTATTCCCCAGATGTTCCCATATTTTCTGGGTTTTGTCTTCCCCCAACTTCCCATATTTTGCCGTATTTTCTGAGAAATCGACGATTAATTGTGTCCGTGTGTTTTTTCCCCTCCTGACTTTGGTAAAACGTGGTCTAGTGAAAACGACCTCGGGCCCAAACCTGGCGGGTGCGCGCCTGGAAAATGACGGCCGCGGCGCCCTCTCGAAAACCGAAAACGGCATAGCACTAATCGACGTGTCAGGGCGGGGAGGTGGCGCGCGCGGCGGCCTGGCGCATAGGCCGCTCCAGGCGCGGCACCACGGGGGGGCGGCGGCGGCGGCGAGGGCGGCCCTCCAGCTCAGCCCTGTCGCCGACACGCAAGAATGGCCCTAGGCTTAGGTCGGGCATGCCAGGCGGACTTTGGACGAAGCAAACAATCAACAACCATTCAAAACATACCCCTAACACACACGCATATATATATATATATATATATATATATATATATATACATCTATATATAAGAAAAGGAAACAAGAGACGGCCCCAGACTACTTAAACACTTTTTTGAATACTCCTCCTGTAGAGGGGCAGGCCCGACTGGAAGGTCGAATCCAAGCGCGCAGGCCAGAGCTGGGGGGACCCCTGTGAGCCCGCACCAGAGGCAGCTCCGGCGAAGGGCCGCTCCTGTGCAGCCGACGTCCTGGCACGAGGGCGCCCCCGGGGCTTCGGACCGCCCAGACCTCCCGAGACGGTCTGACGCTTTGCCCACCTCTCGGGCTCCGGCAGCCAGTTTTTCGGACCCTGGGGCTGTCAGGCAACGGCGCAGGGCGAGAAGCCGGCCCCGGGGAAGGGGTCGAGAGGCCCCGTGCCCCGAGGCTCGGAAGCGGGGTCGAGTCGTCGGATGTCTGGGGGCCTTTTGCTTCCTCCTCGCACGGCAGCCAAAAAGGTCCGGTGATGTGGGCCGCGCTGCGTCGTGGGCTACCAAAGAGGCACGCGCGCACACACCGGGCACGCGTGGCGCCCTGCGTGAGTCGCCCGACTTGCGAGCCTTGGAGGAGGAGGAGGAGGAGAGGGAGGAGGAGGAGGAGGAGGAGGAGGAGGAGGAGGAGGAGGAGGAGGAGGAGGAGGAGGGGCGGGTGCTCTGGAGGCCACCTGGGCCTCCCCGCGCAGGCTTGGGCCACCTTGGCCCAGACTCCCCGCTGGCATCGACCGACCCCTGTTGGGCCGGCCGGCCGGCCCTCTCTCTGACCCCCAGTGACACCGAAGGCACCGAGGGAGGGAGGAGGAGCAGACCGAGGAGGCGGCGGCCGCTGGAAGTCCGGGCGGCCTCCTGAGGCATCCAGGGGCCCCCCCACAAACACGCGTAGACCGCCCTGATCCTGGCTCGATCATCCTCCTATTCGGTAGATAAAGGAAAGAAGCCATAAACGTAAACTTTTGGCGCTCCGCGCGGATTTCTTGGATTCGCGCTGGACCCCCCTCCCTGGCGCGCGGAGCGCCAGGGGCGGCGCTGGAGGCGCCGCCGGGGGGGCCCAGGCGCGGATCCAAGAAATCCGCGCAGAGCGCCTCAAATTTATGTTTATGTTTTTTTTTTTTTCGATTCAAAGAGGAGGGCGAAGAGGTCGCAGGAGCCTCCAGGCTGTCCGACACGGAGCCGCGCATGGCCACGTTGTCGTCCGAGAGCTTCGCGTAGGTGACGTGGGGCTCCGCCTCGACCCCCGGGATGCCTGCTGGGGCGGACCCATGAAGGCGAGGCGGCGATATCCGGGGACTCCAGGGAACGGTGGATATGATTATGTTGGTCTAGAGGCCTCCTAGATGGGGTGGATCTCGCCGCATCGCCGATACATCGGCCATGCGCTGGCGGCGTCGGCGATGCAGCGGCGACGTCGGCGTGGAGAGAATTGGGCCCAACATCGAGCCGCATCGCCGATGCATCGGCGATGCGGCGCGATCCTCCGACCCCATCTACTCCGACCCCATCTAGGAGGCCTAGATGTTCCCAGGAGGTCCGAATCCAGATAGATCGGTTTCTCTAGCAATGGAGTCGGATAAATCACTCCCGGGCAGAGAGCTTAACAACATTATTCTGGGGCCCAGCTCGGGGGGTGCACGATGGGGGGCGTCCATCCTCGATAGAGGTGCGGCCGGATAGCCTCGGTGTGTATCCCCGAGTTCTCCTCCTTTGCTGAGCGGCAAGTTTAGGGGGGATCAGCTCGGGGATTTGGGGCGAGAATGCGCCACAGACTTCGCAAAGGGCCGATCTGTTTCCTTCCATCCGTCACAGCAGCCACCGAACGATTGGCGCCGAGGCGCGTGGCTGAACACCTCTAGACAGGTGATAATCATGCAAAGTGAAGCTGCTGGGAGGTCATTGTGGGAGCCATGAAAATTGAGCAAGCCTGCTACGGGGCCATAAAGCCAGATGAAGCCAGAATAGGCCCAGGATGAAGCCAAACTGAACGGTAAGTAAGCCAGACAATCTGGGATTAGGACGGAATAGAAAGCGAGTTCAAACGATCCCGGACAAAGGCTGTTATTCCACCCCCTGGTGACGGCACGTTTCGCGCTGGCGCCGTCTGGGAATGCCTAATAAAAGCGAAGGACACTCTGGGTCTACATGACGGTTAAGATCTGCCAGGGATACATGGGCACAGTGTAGGGGATTGCTGAGAATAGGCACGAGCAGCAGACGTAGCGTCCGTGCGCGTCAAAGTATGCCCGCGGAGGGACCTCCGGCGTACACCACGACGCCTGCGTGTACCAAAGCGCCTGCGAACACCACAGTGGTTGCCAAAACTAGTGGGCCGATGTGAACAACAATGTGTGTGCACGCTGTGTACGCTCAAGCGCCGGTGAACACCACAACGCCTGTGTACACAACAAGGGCTGTGTGCACAACAATGCCTGTGAACACCACCACGCCTGTGTGCACCACACTACGTGTTTAGACTACGCTGCCTGTGTATACCAGAGCGCATGAGTACACCACAGCACCTGTGTACACACTGCTGAACGTGAACGCCACAATGCCTGTGTACACACAGGTGCTGCTGCAGCAGCAGCAGCATGTGTGTGCACCACAGCGCTTGCGTACACCACGGTGCCAGTGTACACCGCAGCAGCCGCGTGCAATACACCAGAAGGCATGTGTACACCTCCAGGGTCCCGACGGGGCCAAGACCCGGGAAATCGCAAAGAGCCCGAACGTATGAAATTCAATCTGGAAAACATAGTGGTCGTTGATCTTTCTGGCCCACGGCACGGCCTCCCATCCTTATTTTGAGCCCACAGTGTTTGCGAATACCACAAGTCCAATGTACAGCTGAACGCCTGCACACAGTGGTGCTTGTTCGTATCACAAATGCTGCAGCAGCATCTTTTTGTGCACCACATCGCCTGTGTACAACACAGGGGCTGTACAACAGAGGGCTCGAGTGCACAACAATGTTTTCACGTACACACCAGCGATTGTTTATACCACCACGCCTATGTACAACACCGACGCTGCTGCAGCATTTCATGTGCGCACCACAGCACCTGTGCGCACCACAGAGCCTGTCTACACCACAGCGGCCGTGTGCACCACAGCCGATGGGTTCACGACGATCCCAAGAGGACGAGAAACCTCCCCCAAACCCGCCAAAACATCGATCTCGATCCTCGAACGTCGAGAACGACCTGGCCACGTTTGCCCAGCGCCTCGGACCCGACGGGCGCGCGGGGCCCACATCTCTGACCCTATTGGAACAAAGTTGGACAACTTGCGCCTTCTGGGGCCGTATGCGAACCGTGCGAGAGCTGTGCCGAGGACGTCTCCGGCCGTGTTGGGGCCGCCTGGGGGCCTCCAGGGGGGGGCAATCTGGGGGCCCTCTGGGGGCCCTCTTGCAAAGCTGTCAGGGGGGAAAGGTGGCAGAAAAAACACAGTACTTCTAGGGGATGAGCTGAGAACGCGATCATGCGAGCCACGAAGTGAGCTCAGCACGTTTCCATGCGAGCCATCGGCAAAGGGGAGGGCATAAGTTCACATGGCGGGCGACAAGTTGGAGTTTGGGGACACCTGAGGCTCCCGGGGGCCCTCATCTATCGTCGTGGGTCGTGTCGGGGACGTCTCCGGCCGTACGTTCGACAACATGCGGCCTTCTGGGGCCATATGCGGACCGTGCGAAACTTGTGCTGAGAACGTAAATGGCCGTGTTGGGGCCTCCAGGGGACCTCCTGGGGTTCTCTTGGGCAGTCTTGAGCCCCTTCTGGGGGCCTCTGGGGGCCTCCTGGGGGCCTCTTGGATGCTTCTTGGGGCCATTTGGGGCCTCCTGAGGGTCTCTTTGGGCGGAAAACTTAAAATATTGTTCCGTGCTCCCTCTCTGGGGCTTCTCTTGGGGCGATGCTGGAGCCTTCCTGGGCCGTCTTGCAAGCCTCCTGGGCCCTCTGGGGGGCCACTTGGGCCGTGAGGGAGCCCTCTTGGGGGCCTCTGAAGGCTGGGGCGACCTTTGAAATCTCTTGGGGCCGTCTGGCAGCTTCGGGAAGCCGAAAAACGGAAACGCGAAGAACAAGGCCATCTTTGGCGTCTCGGACCGATTTATCGGCGACTCGCGGCTCTCTTGGACCATCTTGCGGACCATCTTGGGGACGTCCGTGCCGCCTCGGAAACGCGCTTGCTCCATTGGGGCCGACTCCGGCCGTCTCCTGCAGGCTTCTGATGCCGTTCCGCCCGTGGCCGGGGCCATGTCCTGGGGGTCCCCCCCAGACCCCCCCAGGGGGATACTAAAAACTGGAACCCCTCCCCAAGGTCGGGGGAAAATTGCTCGTAGGACGTTTTTGGTCCGCAATTGAACCTTCCAGCGGTTGCAACCGAGCGGAAGGGAGAGAGTAGAGGACAGGAGAAAGGAAGGCGAATCGAGGCCTGGCCCGACGCAGTAACGAACTCGGCGACGCTCAGGCGCGAGGCGACAAACTGCCCCCCCAAGGAAGGGGTCGAGAGAACCAGTGCATCAAGCAGATTCGGGCCGCCAGGCTCATTGGCACGGCTCCTGCTCACCCGCACCCTCCTCTTCCTCGCCTGCCTCCTGAAGGCCCACGGCGTCTTCGGAGGCTCCGGGTCGCGTTTGGACGCCGTTGGCCCCCTGCCGGGCCTCTGGAGTTGAGCAGGGACCGACCGTCCCGGCATTCCTATAGTCGTACCACGACATGTTCTTAGAGCCCAAAAATGTTCTAATAACAAAAACGATGTTCTTAGAACATAGACCCGATGCGTGAAAACAAGACAGTCCCAGCCAGAAATGCTCTAAGAACACTTCCTGGAAACCACAAGCAGCTCTTAGAACATTGTTGGGTGGGGCTTCAGGCGAGCCGGGGCGCTGCGCCACTGCTTGACGGAGGCTTCCACACCTCCAGAAGAGAGCCCCACTGGAGCCCTCCGGAGGCTCCCGGAGACCTCTCTCGGAGGGGGGGGGCCGCGCCGCGTGGACGCGCCGGCGCGGACGCGGGCGCTCCAGAGGGCGGACGTGCTTCGGGCGCCCGTCTCGGGCCCGGGGGCAAACCTTCCTCCCGCTCCCTGCCTGCTGCCTCCACCCGGCCCCCCTCCCGCCCGCGCCCGCCGCGCCGGCCCCCGCCTCCCACCACTGCGCGTGCGTCGTCCTCTGACTACCTACCAGACCACCCCAACCCAACCCGAAGACCCGGATTTCGGGTTGGGGGGGGTAAGGGTTCCACACGTGTTTTTTGCGATGTTTCTCGACACCCCCCCAGTGGAAATCGAGGGTAAATCTGAGCCTTCGGGTTGGGTTGGGGTGGTTTGGTGGGTGGTGATCCTCTGCCTGCTCCTCCCCTCCTCGCCCCCCCCAGGGCAGCAGAGCCTGCCCGGGAGCAGCGTGGAGCTCCTCCTCAGGACCGCCTGGCACTGGTGTGCTTCCAGGCGCCCTTCCTGTCGCCGGCGGCGAGCCCGGCGGGGAGGTGAGAAGGGGCGGGCAAAATCTCAGTGGGCCCGGAAGTCCCCGAGCATTCTGGGCAGTTTTCCACGGCTTTCCCGGAGACGCAGAAAAAACCTCTCAGAAGGCGCAAGGTCTTCTGCAGAAGCCCCACCGCCTTCTGAGAGGGCCCTCTTCTTCTCACTTTCCCCCCTCGCTCGCCGCCGGCGGCGGCCATCGGCGAACAAGAGCATACGACGTACACGCACGGGGTCGGGAGGCTCTGGGGACCTTTGGGAGCGGAGGCCGTTCCAGGCCGAGCGGCCCTCTTCGACAAGCGTGCTCCACTATTCGTCAAGCAACTGCGCGTACATGGCCTTTTCCTTGCGTCTGTGAGTAGGCACTTTGCGAGCAGTGGAATGCGCTCGGTGATCTCTCACCGCGTCAGAGGCCAAGGACGACGTCGCCAAGGCCGTGGGGGCCCGAAGAAGGGATCGGCGGCGAGCGAGGGGGGAAAGCGAGAAGGAGAAGGCCCTCTCAGGAGGCGGCGGGATTTCTCAGAAGCCCTCGCGCCTTCTGAGAGCTGAGAGGTTCTCTGCGTCTCCGGGAAAGGCGTGGAAAACTGCTCAGAAGGCTCAGGGACTTCCGAGCCCACTGAGAAGGCCCGCCCCTTCTCACTTCCCCCCCCCTGGGCTCGCCGCCGAAGGGGGGGACGGGAGCGACGATAAGAAAGGTTAGGGCACCGCAGCAGCCATGAATCGACGAGAGGTCTACGACGGGTCCCTGAAAGCCGCACGGTCCTGGGCGGGGCATGCTAGCAGGCTTCTCTCTGGCCATACATTGGCGATTGGGGGGTCGACGCGTCCCCCCCTGAGCCTATCCCTCCCAACGTTGGCTCAACACATGGACGGTTGCCGCTGGCTCCGTCCTATCCCCTCCCGCCCGCCCGCCCCCGAAAAACATACGATTACAGCATGCGCGGCGAAGAGGAATCGCTCAATTGGAAACAACATCTTCCACCAGCGAGCCTCGCATGGGCGGTCCGACCGCAAGCACCTCTTCACACCCAGAGTCTCGATCAATCGAGAATTCGCAGGGAATCCAAGCAATCACCTAAACAAACAGGGCTGAACTGTGGAGACCTGTCTGTCGACACTGTGCTTTGTCTCCTCGAGAGTTGTGCGAACATCTGGTTTTCCGCGCCTCTTGAGACGGCGAGGTCGCACGCGCCCGCGTTGCTGTTGTACCGCGAGCAGGTCTTCCTCTTCTGCAAGGAGAAAAACATGCAATTCTTCTCCGAGTTGCACTTCTTTGCGCACGTGAAAGTATCGATTGCCTCTTCCACCACGTGGCCGGTGTAGTAACCGTTCCTGCAGTGGCCTTCCCCCAACCTCAGGTAGCCAGAAGGCGTGTCCTTAATTACCTCCACCTGCTCGTCGACCTGCTTCTGGGCACCTGGGCCAACAGACGTCACGTTGGTCTCGATCGTCGTCCACCTGCAATGAAAAATAGAACGCGCACATGCTCAACACCGCATGACTTGGTATCCCTTGCCGCCATCGACATCGCATCGTTCGCATCGTGAACAAAAGGCGAACATAAATGACCAGATGAGACACAGGACAGGTGCCGATCATAATGACGAGGGTCAAAAGATAAGCGCAGAAAGGGATACATATATACATGTAGATGTGTATATATATGGAGAGATCGAGAAGGATAGACTGAGAGAGAAAGGACGAGGAAGAGAAGGAGAGATACATCAGCGCGTCTTACGATTCCGCCTTCTTTCATATGGATCGCAACAACACCCCCACATCTGTGTATACATACGGTATGCCTGTATACACGTGTATACCGATACGTGATTTCGCTCTCTCTCTCTCTCTCTGTCACTCATACACACATACGCATGTATGTGTATATATATATATATATATATATATGCTTACCCCCCCCCAAAGATCCCTATTTTCCGTGCTCTGTTCTGCTTTCCTCTCTTCGTCCTCCTCCTCTTTCTCATCCTCCTCCTTTCCCCCCCCATCCTCTCCCCTCATACTTTCTCCTCCTTTTGCTCTATTCATATCTCTCTGGTCTTCCTCCTCCTCCTCCTCGTTCTCATCCCTGTCCTATCTTTCTGTTTCTGTACTTCCTGGATTAATCCAGGGCTCGGCGGTTTAATCCACCTTTCCTTCCTCCCTCCTCCCTTCCCTCCTCCTAGAGAGGGGAAGCACACTCGGTGCCCTTCCGCCAATCCGTTTCGGCGTCCAGGGACCGTTTTCGGGCCCCAGAACCATCAAAAACGACCCAGAGCGAAAAACCATCCCAAGGAAAAGGGTGTGGACCTCTGGGGCCGCGGATTTCCTCATGGCTCCAGGCGATTCCCCTTTTTCCTACTCCTCCTCCGCCTTCAACTTCTCCCCCCCCCCTCCTCCTACTCGCCCCGCCCTGTCCGTAGCCATCATCGGCTCAAGTTGCCCCCGCGCGGGCTGATCCGAAGATTTGTGTCGAAGTCTTACAGCAGGTATGAACACCTCGATTGCGGTATCTGGTCGTGTTGTGTTGACCCGTGATGGTAAACGGGCGCGCCTGGATTTGAGCGTTGGCAATCCGTCAGAACCCTCGGGCTCGGCAGCTGCTGACATCATCCGCCTCTTGGAGCCGGCTGCCCCTTCGGGGCCGCCCGTTGCCCCCGTGCCGATCGCGGACCGCGTCCGCCCGCGCGCTGTGGATGTTATTGGTGACGTGAACGCAGGGCGCTTGACCGTGCACCCGTCGAAGACCGACCTCTTACTGAAGGAGGTGAACAACCAGATGAATTACATACAGGCGTCTTGCGGAATGCAGCGCCGCCAGGAAGGCCAATGGAGTGAAGCAGCCCAGAACAAGCTCGTCGCCTGGCTCAACAAGCGCAGGCAAAAGGGAAAGGTCCCTGACGGCCCCCCTGCACGTGAGGCGCCCCCCGCCCTGGCACTCATGGGCGGCGTCGTGGGCGACGAGGGCGGCGAGGGCGACGACGAGGGCGGCAAGGGCGACAATGAGGGTGGCGAGAACGACGGCTCGAAGAAGGACGAGGGCGAGGACGAGGAGGAGGAGGGCGAGGAGAGCTCGAAGGACAAGGACAGCGACTCTGAGAACACCTCGGAGGACGAGGACAAGGGCTCGGAGGACACCGAGGGGGCCGAGGACAAGGGCTCGGAGGACACCGAGGGCGAGGGCAAGGGCTCGGAGGACAGCTCAAAGGGCGAGGGCGGCTCGGAGCACGAAAACTACGCGGAGGGTGGGGTCCCGATGGACGAGTTCGAGGAACTGTTCGCCAGGTGCGCGGATGCCGAGGCAGAGTGCTGCCGCCTCACCAAGGAGAACAAGGAGCTCAAGATGCACGAGGCAGAGTGCTGCCGCCTCACCAAGGAGAACGAGGACCTCAAGATGTATATCGAGCGCATGTCCCAGCATTGGGCAGACAGCTCGGATTCCGAGTGAGATTGCTTCTGCCTAGAAACGAACGCGGTGGTCACGAAAAAGGGGTCCGGAGGCGCAAAACTAAATAGGAAGGAGCTCTTGAGAAGAGCTCGGAAGATGTAGCAATAGCTAGTAACAGCAAAACATATCAAGGAATATAGATGTTGTTATAGTTTGGAACAGCTCCTCCCCCCGCTGGATTAATCCAGGGCCGTTGGGATCAAAGCTGAGATTCTTCTGCCTAGAAACGAACGCGGTGGTCACGAAAAAGGAGTCCGGAGGCGCAAAACCAAATAGGAAGGAGCTCTTGAGAAGAGCTCGGAAGATGTAGCAATAGCTAGGAACAGCAAAATATATCAAGGAATATAGATGTTGTTATAGTTTGGAACAGCTCCTCCCCCCGCTGGATTAATCCAGGGCCGTTGGGATCAAAGCGTTTCCTGTTTCTCCCTCTCTCTCCTCCTCCCTCCCCCCAGTCGCCGTTTGAGACTCAAGGCGCAGCCAGCCAACGGAAACAACGACGCAACACCACAATAGCACACAAACGGCGGCACACAGGAAGCAACACAGCAACGATCATGACGCCGATAATCGGTCATCAGAAACACCACCACTGAGACAATAACGGAAACAGCCGACAGAACAGCGACAGAACGCAGCAACATCATACTAACGACCCAAATGACACCCACGAACTAAATAAAGCAGCCGTAGTTGATGAAACAATGCATCCTTGCAAAAGCACGCCTTTGCCACCCTCCGTGTCTGTCTGGGCTCAAGCGCGTCAGCGCGCCAGGGGATAAGGCGCGCCTGCCCGTTCCTTGCCAGGGCCGTTCGTGTTCATGCTGCTGACTATGCTATGTAGATGTCCAAGAGGTGCCATGCAGATTCCACGAGGGGTGTATTTCAGCCATTCGATATGGTTCGTCCTTGTTGCACGTTGGGGGTTCCGACCCAGCCTGCAGCTGCTTTGTTCGTTCTCGAACTCGCCGAAGCGATTGAAAAAAAAACTTCCCTCCTCTCCTCCACGCTCCCCTGCTCTGCCGCTTTTCCTCCTCCTTCTCCTCCCCCTCCTCCCTCCCTTGTGTTCCTCCTCTTCCGCTGGCGGAACTTGTTTTTTTTTTGTTTTTCCTCCTCCCGCTTTCGGAGGCAGAGTTTTTTCCTTTTTTTCCCCTGTGAAAACACAATGTGTTCCTTATTGTTATTTTTTTTCCTCTTTTTCGGTCTTTCCCCTGGGACGGCGGAGAAATTCGGAGGACCGAACGAGGCAGGGAAAAGAGGAAAAAAAAGACAAATAAGGAAAAACCTGCGTTTTCACATGGAAAAAAAGGAAAAAAACTCTGCCTCCGAGGGCGGGAGGAGGAAAAAAAGGAAAAAACTTTCCGCCTGCGGAAGAGGAGGAAAGGGAGATGGACGGAGGAGGAGGAGGAGGAGGACGACGACGACGACGGGGAGGAGGAGGAGGAGGAGGACGACGAGGAGGAACAGGGAGAGACGGATTTGTCCTCTTTTTCCTCCTCCGGCCTTGGGGCGCGGATGTTTTTTCCTCTTTTTCCCTGTGAAAACACAGGTTTTTTCCTATTTTTCATTTTTTCCCTCTTTTCCCTGCCTCGTTCGGGCCCTCCAGATTTTTCCGCCGCCCCAGGGGAAAGACCGAAAAAGAGGAAAAAAAGGAAAAATAGGGAAAAACCTGTGTTTTCACAGGGAAAAAGAGGAAAAAAACATTGCCTCCGAGGGCGGGAGGAGGAAAAAAAGAAAAAAAACGTTCCGCCTGCGGAAGAGGAGGAAAACGAGGGAAGGAGGAGGAAGCTGAAAGGAGAAGGGAGGAGGAGGAGGAGGGAGAGGAGGAGGAAGCAACATGGGGATCTTGGGGGGGGGTGCGACCATATATATATATATATATATATATATATATATATATATATATATATGTACGTCTGTGCGCGATTTCGGAAACCCTACACCCAAAATCGTTGTCATATCTTGGAGGCGCACCTTTTACTTCCGCCGCCTTCCGCCGAGCGTCCGCCGGCGGAGGCGGCCTCGTTCTGAGCCCGCCGACCTTCTGCCGCCTTTTCCGCCGCGGACGGCACGACGACAACTCCCTCGACCCTCCAAGGCGAAGCCCTTTCTGCATGCAGATACACACACGTATATGAAGGGGAACTGGAACACACAAATAAATACACACAAATAAAAATATCCCCCATATTTTCCCATATTTTCTGGGTTTTTGTCTTCCCCACCACTTCCCATATTTTTGCATATTTTCCTGGGAGTCGCCGATTAATTGTGTCTGTGTGTTTTTTCCCCTCCTGAGTATATATAGTTAGTGATCAGTCGATGTATACTTATACACTGGTATACACACGGTCTTCAGTCACCTCAAGAACACGCTGCATTCCTTGCAGAATCTGCTGTGCGCGGCCATCGTCCCGAATGCCCTGAGCGTTCGAAGGACCCGAAGCATTGGCAAACACAGGAGCTGCGAGGTAATTACACGCTGCGCCAGAAATTAAAACGTCATTGGCAACAACAACCACGTCGAAGCGGAACCAAGGATTCTGAAGCGTGTCCATGACGTCGGCTACTATAAGCAGAGAAGCATGAACCACACATCAATACGTACAATAACGGAAGGTCCAACCAAGATGCGGCAACCGTGTCCCCATTCAATCCAAATAAAACTTCCGCTCCTACGAACATAGAACTGAATGATCCAAATCGTGTTCGCCTGAACTGCTCGATCTGGCCGTCTGGGCCCGCGCGACCGACATGCCCGTTATGGTCTGCCCGCCGTTCCGCCCGTCTGGTTCTACCGATGTTTTCCTCCTGCTGCTTATCAGCCTCCTGCTGATCTCTCTCGTGATCCATCCTCGCTTTCCCTGTTTTAGAGGCTGCGCCAGCTACACGTGGCAGGTAGGGAGGATATACCCTAAGGGGGGTATGATTGAAGACGGAGGGGGCTGGTATCGAGAGTTTGGGAAATACTTGTTGGCACGCGAGCGTATGAAAGCGACTGCTGTTGCGATTGAAACCTCTTTTCTACAAAATTATTGTTGCTGATCCCCTCCTCCGGTGCACAAAATGTTTTTCAATTGGAATGCCCCTTCCGAGGCTCGCATCCTGTTTTTGCAAGGGAAAGTCTTGGGCTTCAGACTGCGCCCATGGCCCCCGGTTTACAACAACGGCGCCCTCCTGATACTCGATTTCCTTGGGAATCGCGCTATCGCTCGAGACTTCCTCGCGAATCATCAAGACTGAGCTGCAGCGACCCGCCCACCCGACCCGCTCCACCCGGCCGTCCCGGTCCGCCCACCCGACCCGCCCATTTAGTTCCGCCCGCCCGGCACGCCCGTCTGGTTCTGCCACCTTTTCTCGCCTGCTGCTAGCCCACCTCCGGCTGATCTCTCTCTCGTGCTCCGTCCTTTTCCCTTCCCGTTCTCCCTTCCCCTGTTGTAGGGGCTGCGCCAACTACACGTGACAGGTAAGGAAGATATTCCCCCAAGGGGGGTACAATCGGAGACGAAGAGGGCGGGTATCGAGGGTTTGGGATACGCATGCTGAGTGGCACGCGGGCAGATAAGATCGAACAGTCTGGAAATGACTGTTGTTGTTCTTATCGAATTCTCATGTTCAAAGAGTAGATGTTGTTGATCTCCCTCTCCTGTGCACGTGGTGTTTTTCAAATGAAGTGCCCCTTCCCGAGGCTCGCAACCTGGTCCTCAGACTGGTTGTTGGCGCCCGAACTACAGCAGCAACAAACTTAAGACTGCTCGATATTATTCGCTCGAGTGCCATTCAACACTTGTATCCCTAACCGTCGATACCCGCCCTCATCGTCTTCGATCGTACTCCCTTGGGGGTATATCTTCCGTACCTGCCAAATACAGTTGGCGCAGCCCCTGAAAACAAACAAACAGGGGGGAGAGGACGGATGGAGGTAAGGGATACGGGAGAGGGAGAAAGATGGAGCACGAGAGAGAATAGCAGTGGGGAGGTTAGAAGCAAAAAAACGTGGCAGAACCAGACGGGCAGAGCGGGCGGGTAGCCGTTAACAAGCGGGTCGGGACGGCGGGTGCGGGCGGCCAGGTCGAACGGGAGGATCGCTGAAGCGTCAGTCCTGCATGAATCGTGAAGTCTCGAACGATAGAGCGATTCCCAAGTAAATCGTGGGAAAGGCCAACGCGAAAGCGTGATTCCCGAGCGTGGAAGGCGCGGCGTCTCAAGATTGCAAGGGAGCACCACGCGAGAGCGCGATTTCTGTCGAATGCGTTGTGAAGAAGCCCCCCCCGCGAGAGCGCGTGTCGAAATTGATTGTGAGGATGTATCATGAAGGATCTGGTACTGTTGTGCTCCCCCTGGGCCAGGGGCGCAGTCTGAGGCCCGAGGCTTCCCTCCAGGGAGGGGGAATGGACCATAACTACTTCCTAGCAGTGAGAATTCAGTGGCTTCCGCCCGACACTCCCTCACACATTGTTCCACATCGCGCGCTCGCGCGGGGCCTCCTCCCAACTTATCCAGGCATCGCGCTCTCGTGTTGAAAGATCCTTGCCGCGCTCTCGACACGCAGGTGCTCACGCTCCCGCCCTGAGCTTCCTCACGATCTACCTCGGAATCGCGCTGTCGCTCGAGACTTCCTCGCGATTCGTGCACAAGACTGACGCTTCCGCGATCCCCCCGTCCGACCCGGCCGTCTGGACCCGCCCGCCCGACCCGCCTCCTCAGGGTCCGCCCGCCCAGCCCGCTCGTCTGGTTCTGCCGCGTGTTCTCCTGCTGCTACCCCCCCCCCCTGCTAATCTCTCTTTTCGTGTTTCATCCGTCTCCCCCCCCCGTTGTCCCTTTCCTCCTCCTTTCCTCCCTCTCCCTGTTTTAGGGGCCGCGCCAACTGGATGTGGCAGGTACGGAAGATATACCCACAAGGGGGGTACGTTCGAAGACGAAGAGGGCAGGTATCGACGGTTTGGGATAGACATAGTGGCATCATGCTGGTTGACACGCGAGCAGGTGAGAGCGAACAATCTGAAAATCATGGTCTCTGTTGTTGTTGTAGCCAGGGGCCCAGGGGCCCAGTTTGAAGCTCAAGACTCTCCCTCATAGAAAACAAGGTGCGAGCCCCAGGGGGAGGAACTCAAATTGAAACAAACACAGCGGGCACCGGGCAGGGGAGATCAACAACAGTCATTCCCCAGACATCACACACCAACGACAACCCGCACCGCGGAACCCCACAACAGCCACGCGCGCAGGGATCGTGCAAGACCGTGTGCTGCCCCCCTCACTCTGACGTTGTAGTGTGTGGTGCCCACCCAGGTGTCTGCGCGAGGTACTCGTACTCCTTGTCCCGGTGGGGCACGCCCGTTTGGATCTCGGGCGCCACAACGAACGGATCGTTCGGCGAGACCCGTGCGGCCCAGAAGGAGAACACGGAATCCGCGATGACGAGATTCGGCAGCAGGCTCATCATGTAGAAAGTCTTCTGGTCGGCCATCGTCGTGGGCATCGGGATGCGCGAGTCGCACAGCTCGAACCGCTTGCTCCTTGCAGGAAGTCTGGGCACCGTAACACGGCAGCTCCGCGCCAGCGGCCGAATCCCGGGGACGATGCGTGTGGCCTAACGGTGGGGGCTTTAGATAAGTGAGCTTGGACTAGATAATCCGAGGCTCGCGGACGACGAATGGGTAATCTCGCGGGCAAGTCTCAAGCCATCAACTTCAGCCCCGTTTGACGAATGACACGCTAGGGCCTGGTGGTCTGGGGGGGGATACCTTATCCAATGCCCTTGTCACCGCATGCATCTCTCGGATACGAATGCGACCACCGAACTCACCCCCTGCATTAGACTGCTGCTGTCGCGGCGCTGCTGTAGACGGTAACTACTCCCCTGGGACCTTTTCATAGCTTCGCCCATCTTGTCGGAGAAGATCATGCACGTCAAGGGGGCGTCCGGAGATCGATTCTTGATCTCTGCAAGTGCCTTGGAATAGTACGACGTGAGCAGAGTTCGCCCTGTGAAATCGTCGTCTCCGAATCGGATGTGGATGCCCACAGCTGCTCCCTTCGCCTTCTCGTTCCAGAGGAGCCATCGCAGAGTGTCCTCCGCCTTGGCGGCAGTTCCCTCGTCCCAGAACGCTGCGCGGACCAAATCGATGTGGTGACGGAAGAACCCCTGATTCAAGAAGTACCCGTCCAGCTCCCAGAAGCGGCATTTGTGCGGCGTTTCGGTGTGCAGGAAAGATTTTGCCACGGCTGCGGCCAAGTTCCCGTCATCTGGCGGCTCGAAAACAGCTGGAGTGTGATACTCGCCCTTCGCCGATCCCCAGGAGACCTCCTCATTGAAAGACTCCATGTTTGAGTCAATGACAAGCGGCATCTTGTCCCACATGTGGCATTTCTGCTTGTTCTTCTGCAGCATCTCATAGTCAGACGAGTTCCAGACCACCGGCCGAAGACGGGCCATCTGAAGCGTGCTCGCCGGCTCGTACCTGCCCTCGCGGAGGACCAGGCGGAACTCCCTGTCTTTGAGCTCCTTCGCGAGGGAGAGGGCGGCCGCCCACTGGAACATGTGGTGCCCCAGCTTTCCACGGTTGAGCTGGACCACCAGCGGCTTGTGCAGGTTCCTCGGGAGCGACAAACGTATCCGCATGCCTGCCCTCGCGGTCTGGGCGCCGCGGCGCCGGCCCAGGCGCACACGATCCAGAGGGCGGGCACGCTCCGCGCGCTGCCTCCGAGCAGCGCCGCACCGGGCCCACGGGGTGGCGGCCGAGGCGTCCAGACCGCGGGGCCGCTGATGCGGAGATGGTTCCCTCCCACGAGTTCCCCCGCTGGTTGCTCATGGTGTGGACGAAGCAGTCCTCCCCTTCAGGGCAGGCCCCCTGCTTCGTGTAGCCAAACTTGAGGATGTGGGTCCTCTTGTCCTCCCGCACGTCCGCGGGGTCCTGACGATGGCTGCCGTTCCTGCTGCTGCTGCTGCTTCTGCTCACCCTCACGATCAACCTTCCCCTCCTTCCTTGCTTCCTTCCTGCCTGCCTTCCTTCCTCCCTTCCGCTCGCATGAGGCGGCCCCCTATCGGATCGCCCGCCCGGCCGGGCCGCCCGGCGCGGGCACTGATAGTTCCCGCGGGTGGGTCCGCTAACGCCCAGCCCGCGGCAGCCCCTCCCCGCGGCAGCCCCTCCTCCTTCTCCTCCTCCTTCTCCTCCTCCTCCTCTCCTCCTCCTCCTCCTCCTCCTCCTCCTCCTCCTCCTCCTCCTCCTCCTCCTCCTCCTCCTCCTCCTCCTCCTCCTCCTCCTCTATTCCTTTTCCTTATAAATAACTTCTCCCCGTCGCACCCCGAAACCAGTTTTTAGGGCTTTTGCAGCGGTCCTGGCGTTTCGCCTGAGACTTCCTTACCACTTATGACTCTGAGGCTTGAAAGTTGGCAACAGCTTCGCGGATAGAGGGCGGGTGGTTTTCAACATGTGGTCCTTTTTCGTAGCGTGGCGCACATTCGTTTCTAAAACATTGCAAAACTTTCACGGATTGAAGGCGGGTGGTATTCAAAATGCGGCTCTCGCCTCAGCGCGGCGCACATTCGTTGTAAAAAGTGGCAAGAGTTTCACGGATTGGAAGCGGATGGTTTTAAACATGTGGCTCTCGCCTTAGCGAGGCGCACAGTCGTATTAAAAAACAACAGCTTCACGGATTAAGGGCGGTTCCTTTTCAAACTGTGGCTCTCGCCTGAGCGCGACGCACATTCGTTTTAAACATGTCCAAGAGTTTCACAGATTGAGGGCGGCTCCTTTTCAAAATGTGGCTCTCGCCTTAGTGCGGCGCACACTCGTTTGAAACATTTTCAAGAGTTTCACGGGCTCCCATTATCAACGTACTAGAAATTGCGCTTGAGAAGGATTCAGGATTTTGCGGGTGCAACAATTCGGCTGGTTCTCTGTGTTGAAGTCCTCGTAATGGCGTTCTGGCGCGATCCAGGAACGTCAAGACGCAACAATCAGGTTGATCCGTGGCGTTGGAATCCTTAGAACAATGTTTTTGCATGCTTCAGGGACGTCCAACGTGTATCTTCCAACGAGGCAGTTCCCTCAATGGAAATGAACAGTTGTAGGGGCCTATGAAGAGGGATCTTGGAGGGAGGGTTTACTCCAACATCGTTGATGACCCTTGGGTTTACACTGGTCCTCCTCCTCCTCCTCCCCATCCTCCCTCCTCCCCCTCCTCCCCGTCTCCCCCCCCTTCCCGCTCCACCTTCCCCATTCCCCCCCCCCCCCTGGATCACCCCGGCAGCCTCTCTGCGCACACCAGGGGGAGGAGGGGAGGGGCGAAGGCAAGCTAGGTGCGCTCGCGTCATATCTGACGTCCTACCCCTCCCTCCCATCCCTTACCATGGCGCTGATTTTCTCTATCCGCGGACGCGTGTCGTAGCGGACCTGTGGCTCCGCGCGCGCGTGCGTAGTGGGTGGTGGTGCACGTGCGTGCGTGCGTGCGTGCGTGTGTGGTGGTTGTGGTGGTGGTGGTGGTGGTGGTGGTGGTGGTGGTGGTGGTGGTGGTGGTGGTGGTGGTGGTGGTGGGTGGTGGTGGTGGTGGTGGTGGTGGTGGTGGTGGTGGTGGTGGTGGTGGTGGTGTGGTGTCGTGGTGCTGGTGGTGGTGGTGGTGGTGCTGGTGGTGGTGGTGTTGGTGCTGGTGTGGTGCTGATGGTGGTTGTGGTGGTGGTGGTGGTGGTGGTGGTGGTGGGTGGTGGCGGTGCGGCGCGGTGGTGGCGGGCGGATGGGCGCGCGAGAAAAAGGCCCGCGCTGGGGCGAGAACGCCATCCTGAACGACGGAGGCCAAACACCGATCCGAAAATGAGGCCCACGCTGCAGCGGGAGCACGATTCGGAAGGATTCGGGAGCAGAAATGAGGCCGGCGCCTCAACGAGAGCAGCATTTGGGGAAAAAATGACGCCGGCGCCTCAGCGAGAGTCGTTTCCCGGGATTTCCTGGGAATCCTGTGTAAAAAAATAATACGCGGAGGGTGCGCGGCCATCACCCGGACGCCATCAGGGGAAGAGGGAGAGTATTTTCATATAGAGTAATTGTGGAGGGGAAGGGCGGCCCTCGAAGAAGCCAGGGCAATCCTGAGGCAGCAATTGAAGAGCCCCCTGCCGTCTTCGGCGGCGAGCGAGAGGGGGAGGGAGAAGTGAGAATGAGAAGGCCTTCTCAGAGGGCGGCCGGACTTCTCAGAAGCCCTCGCGCCTTCTGCAAAGTCTCCTGTGCCTCCGGAAGAAGCTGAGAACACGTCTCAGAAGGCCAGGGGGCTGCCGAGCCTTCTGAGCAGGCCGCCCCTTCTCCCTTCCCCCCCGGGCTCGCCGCCGATTCCTGGCAGGAGGGCCTCTCGCGCTCCCCGCTGCCCCCGAGCCGTTTCTTGCTGACGGCCCCGGAGCACCGCGAGGGCCCCCGGAATGCACACCAAGACGCCGCGAGGACGGATGCTAATGGAGATGGCGCTGGCGAGTCGAGCCGCCTCCCCTTGGCGGCGCGCCCGGGGGAAAATGAGAAGGGGCGGGCCTTCTCCGAAGGCTGGGAAGTCCCCCGGCCTTCTGAGAAGTTTCCTGAGCGTTCCCCGAGGACAGAACAAACTTCTCAGAAGGCGCGAGGGCCTCTGAGAAGTCCCGCCGCCTTCAGAGAGGGCCTTCTCCTTCTCGGTTCCCCCCCCCGCCCGCCGCCGATCCCCCCCAAAAAAAATCGGCCGGGACTCTCTTGGGAGCGCGCTCTGGCCAGGCTCTCCAAAGGAATCTCGTGTGTCCGATCCAATATCGGCGGTGGACAAACCTCTCTTTAGTAAGCCTCCCCTTAATGAAAACGGCCTGGGGCCGAAACCGACGGACCTGGACCCGCAAAGATGACGGCCGCGACGCCCTCTCGCGAACCGAAGGCAAATTCCTGAATCGACGTGTCAGGGTAGGAGGTCGATCCACGTCCGACAATAGGAGCCTCTAGGAACCGACTTCAGAACCCACACCGCGCAACACCACTCAACACGCCGCGGTGCTGCGCGCCTGTGGCATATCCCCGGCAGCGCCTACAGATCGGACGCGTAAGGAATCCCCCTGTGGCGACAAGAAGCTCTCTCCTGGGGCCCAGCAAGGGCGGACAGCGTCCACTACCTGGATCCTCGAACGTCCGGGATGGGTGTCATTGGCACGGGGAGGAAGAGGAGGAGGAGAAGCAGGAGGAGAAGGAGAAGGAAGATGAGGAGGGACGAGGAGGGGAGAGGGGGAGGAGGAGGGGGGAAGGGGAGGGGGAGGGGGAGGGGGCGGGACAGGGGGAGAGGGAGGAGGACAAGCTAGGTGCGCTCGCGTCATATCTGAACGTCCTACCCCTCACTCCCATCCCTTACCATGGCGTAGATCTCCTCTCTATTCGCACGGTCGGATGTCGAGCAGGGCAATGATCCCGAGAGGGTGCGGGATGCATCGTAGAGCACGGCATAGCAGGGCGCAGAAGAGCACGGCAGAGCGTAGTATGTCATAGCATGGCGTGGTATTGCGCAGTGAAGTATTGCATCACAAATCATTGCAACGCAAAGCATGGCATCGCACAGCAGCACAGAACAGAACATGGCATAGCACTGCGTTGAAGATCCAAGCATAGCATGGCATAGAATGGCGTGGCGCTGCGCAGTCAATCACTGCATATCGTAGCATTGCAACTGAAGGCATGGCATCGCACAGCGGAACACCACGCATTGCATTGCATGCCGTGGTATGGCACTGAAAAGAATGACGCTCCAACGGGAACACGATTCGGAACGAGCGGAAGCGCTGACATGAGGCCAGCGCTAAAGCGGGAGCACGATTCGGAATGAGCGGAAACGCGGAAATGAGGCCAGCGCTGCAGCGGGAGCACGATTCGGAACGAGCGAAAGCCCGAAAATGAGGCCAGCGCTTCAGCGGGAGCAATGCTTTGAACATTATCCTGGCGGGGGACCCGACCAGATGCAATTGTGAATGCCGCAGTGAGCCCCGCCTTCGGTGGAGCTCCCTGCGGGGCCACAAAACGCGTGAGGAGTGTGCCGAAATGGGTGCGGTGGCGCCATGCAAACCCTGCCAATGTGGCCTTCGGTGAACCTCCTTATGGGGCCACGAGCCGTGTGAAAGGTGTGCCGAAATGGGCGGCGGCGCCATGCGGACCCTGCCACTGAGGCCTTCGGCGGGACTCCCTATGGGGCCACGGACCGTGTAAGGGGTGTTCCGAAATGGGGCGGTGGCGCCATGCGGACCCTGCCACTGGGGCCTCCGGTGAACCGCCTTATGGAGCCACGAACCAGGTGAAAGGTGTGAGAAATGTGGCAGAGGCGCGATGAGGACCCTGCAATTGGGGTTTGGTGAACCTCCCTATGGGGCCACGAATCGTGTGAGGGGGGTGCCGCCATGGGGCAGAATGGCCGTGCGGACCCTGCCATTGGGGCCTCCGGTGAAATGCCTTATGGGGCCACGAGCCGTGTGAAGGGTGTGCCGTAGTGGGGCGGCGTCGCCATGCGGACCCTGCCACTGGGGCCTTCGGCGGGACTCCCTATGGGGCCACGAACAGTATGAGGAGTGTGCCGAAATGGAGCGGCGGCGCCATGCGGACCCTGCCACTGGGGCATTCGGTGGAGCTCCCTATGGGGCCACGAACCGTGTGAGGAGTGTGCCGGAATGGAGCGGCGGCGCCATGCGGACCTTGCCACAGGGGCATTCGGTGGAGCTCCCTATGGGGCCACGAACCGTGCGAGGTGTGTGCCGACATGGGGCGGCGGCGCCGTGCGGACCCTACCTCTGAGGAGCAAATCCCGCTTGCTCCTCAGAGGTGTTGGCGGCGACCTTAGCGGTGGTGAGGCTCACGGCGGGCGCGAGCAGCTTGACCTCGCTGTTCTTCCTGATGGGCGGGCGGAGTGTGGCGGGGTGCGCGCGCAGTCCACGCTGCCAGGAGGCGCCTCACCTTTTTTGCGGGGGCATGGCCATCAGGGCACGGTCGGGGTCCCACGGCGCTCCGTCGTCCACCATGTGAGTCGCAAGATTGGCACGAAGGGGGAGTGCGCCAGGTGTGCGGAGCCAGGCACGGCAGGGCAGCCCGACAGGTCTCGGGGCTGAGTCACCAGCTCGTCGCGCAACTTGAAGCAGATCATCTTCACCAAGAAGACGTCGTTCGAGCCGCTGCCGATGGGGAAGCACACCGTCCAGGTGGCAAGCAATGTCCGATTCGGAGACCGTCTTGGCGGCAAAGACATGGCCCCCATGGTTGAAAATGGCCGCGTGCATCTTGCTCGGCTCGCAGGCTGTCGCGGTGGTGGTGCCCGTTTCTATCTTGATGCCAGCGAGGGCCAGGCGGCGCGCCAACGGCCTCCATATTTCACCTTTTTGTGGGCTTCGTGTCTGGAGCGTTGGCGCCATCGGCCACGTGGAGCGACGTCGCATTGGGCGTAGGCGGCGCGAGAATTCGCAGCCGCGCGAGCACGTCGTTCCTCGCTCCGGCCGGCGCGGGTCTCGCCGCCCCCCTGGGGCGAGGGCGCGCGGAGCCAGCAGCTCGACACTGTGGCCGTCAATCTATGGGGCACCTGTGGCCGATGCTCGCGTCGTCGGTGGGCTGCTGCGCGGGAATCGTGCCTCGATGCCATCTGGCCCGGGCGATGCTGCGGAGAGTCACGCCACGAATCTCCCTGCTGCTGTTGCCGTCCTGCGATTGGAGCTCGGCGGCGGGGATGGCGGGAAGGGCTGCGCGCGCAGCGTGCGGCTTCATGCGTCGGCGATTTCTGGTAGCGCCGTTGGTGTGCAGCGGAGAGCTGAGTCATGTCATTGGCTTCGGCGAGAATATTGCAGCGGTGGGCGTAGTGGGTCGAGTCAAAAATGAAGGCTGGGACAGCTTGCTCATGAGTAGGACGGCTTCGCGCAGGGCGGATGCGCAGCTGCATGATCTTGTGGTCACTGATCATCCCGTTGGGGCCTTCAAGAGGGGAATCGTCAGCGTTCAGCGTGATATCCATGAATGTCGGGGGACGGGAACGAGGTGAAGCAGCCGCCGATCCTACTATCCGAGAGGGCGGCCGCGACACGGTGGGTGGTGAAGAGGGTCGTGACCTCGAGCATGTCCTGAGACAGGTGCTTCCAGAAGGCGGGCTGGCACTGCCAGCGCTGGGATTCGATCGCCTTGGAGTAGATCGGCGTGTTGATGCTATTCGGGGCGTGTTCGGAGATGTTGGAGTCGCCCAGCATGATGAAGGTGCGCTTGAAAGGATATTCAGCAGCGTGCTGTCGAATCCGTTGCCATTGCTGTCGGATCGCGTGGCGATCACTGGGCGAAAGATCGTGATTGTGGATGTTCAGCACGGTGGCGTCGTAGGTGCGACTCATGTCAGCAATTCTGAGCCACGCTGCTCGCCCTGGAACGAACTCTGCGAAGGTTCGCAAAGGTCGCTCGTCAGGTGAACGGCTTATCTCGACCTGATCGTCGGGAACGAGAAAGTCAATACCGCCAGCGACGGTGGAGTTCGGGACGCCGGAGTAGGGGCAAGGTACTTGCGCTGCGTGGGGCGCGCGAGGATGTCCATGTCGATGGCAGCTCCGTGTGTTTCTTGCAGCGCGATAAGGGCTGGCTGGCGTAGCAGTGGTTTGAGCAGTCGGCGCTTGTCCTGGCGGCGCTGAAATGAGACTCCATGGAATGCCTGGGCGTTCCAGAAGGCGCTGTTCATGTCGTGCTCGTTGGGGCTGCTCTGCCAGGAGGCCCAGCGTGGGCTGAAGCCACTGTGCGGAGGCCAGGGCGCCGGAGAAGCTGGACTCGAAGGCGACGCGGATGTTGGTCTGTTGTTGGTCGATGATTCCGAAGCGTACTGCAGCAGCTGTCCAACGCCATGTGGTTGGCTCGTCAGACGCACCACCATTAAGCAATTGAACCAGCACCTCCTTTTGGTATGAACTGTAGCAGCGGCTCCTGTGGAGGCGGCGGGTGTATTGGCCGAAGCGCTGGTTGATGAGCGTGGCGAGCCGCTCGAGTTGCACTTCTCGACCGACTGCGTGTGGACTCTTATCGGCCGAGACGTGTAATACAATAGGAGCAGCACCACCACGTGATATTGGAATCACGCCAAACACGTTCAACATGAAGTGCTTCGTGAAGTCGCCTTGCTCGCGGTTCAGCAATCACTGTGCCGCCAATAAGGGTGAAACTGTGGCGCTTGGCAAGCCCCGTGGTGTTGAAGGAAATGAGCTCATAGGTGATTTTGCCGTCTTTGAACCACTGCGCCAACGAGGTCTTGACATCGTCAATGCCGAAGGCGGTGGGGGCGTCGCACCACAACGTGCATGGGTGAGCGGTGCGGTCCTACGTCCCGAGGTTGGCCGCATCGATGCTGGGGTTGCGAGATCCGGCGTCGTCCACGATCTTGTGAAGCTTGCTGACAGATTCGCGCAGTTCTCGAGTAACGGTCTCGGTGGCGGCGATCCTGGCCTTGGTGTCCTGGAGCTCTCGCTCGGTCCGCTCGTGCTTCATGTTGAAGTCGGCGGAAATGGACGTGATGGAGGAGAGGAACTGGGTGCGCGCAGACTCCATGACGGCCTTGGCGGTGTTCTCGAACTCGTGGGCTGCAGTTTTGAGCTGGGCGGAGAGCGCTTCCTCGAGCTGCTTGCGAAGGTGAGCTGGGAGTTCTTCCGCTGAAAGCTTGGCTGCTACATGGTGCCATGGATCTGGGCCTTTTCCGTCTTGATTGGCAGCTGCGACTGCGACGTTTGGCATGATGAGCGCGGGCGCGCAACAGCAGCTCCGATCGGGCACAGCGGAGAACATGCAGACCACAGCACACAGGAGTAGGAGGGCGGAGTATGGCAGTGGGCGAGGAGGAAGAGGAGGAGGAGGGGGCAAACCTCCCTTTGGCAGAAGACACCCTTGGGTGTGAACACCGACTGGGGACCAGACCCGCACGGGCGCGGCTCCGGAACAGAAGGCCGCTGCCACAAAATCCCTCGGGAAGCCACAGGAGGGGCCCCGCGGGCGGACTCGCTCACTGGGAAGCCAGCAGCACGCACGGCTGGATTCGCACGTGTAGGGGAACAACAAATGGCATAAACATAAAAACTCGGAGGTCCGCGCGGATTTCTCGGATCGGCGCTGGACCCCCCTCCCTGGCGCGCGGAGCGCGCTAGGGGCGGCACCGGAGGCGCCGCCGGGGGGCCCCAGCGCCGATCCGAGAAATCCGCGCGGACCTCCGAGTCTTTATGTTTATGCCATTTGTTGTTCCCCTGCACGTGGAACATCTGGAGGCCATGCGCTGGATGCACATGTGCAGGGCCAGTGTGCCTGGCCAGACGAGGGCCGAGCGCCGGGAAGGCATCTAGACACATCATGTGTGTCCAGTCATCACCCACGTTGGCCGCACCGGGTGTACAGTGGAGGCCAGTCCACAAAAAAACCCTCCACAAGAAACCCATCCCTGAGACCCCAGGACGTCCATTGATTTTTGGTGCGGGAGCGTCACGCTTCCCACAGCAAGACCCAGGGCATCCTGGAGGCCAGCAGGGTGTTTCTTGGCATGGGTCTCCACTGTATATCCAGCATTATGTTATGCACAATGCGACGAGGTCATAAGGATGCGCGGTAGGACTGCGCGGCCCTGGGGCGCCCAAAGGTCGAAGCCGAAGCAGGAAGCCCATGGCCAAGGGTAAGGTTTTGCCAGGTCGATGGGCAAGGCTCCATGTGTACTTACCCCCCTTGAAACGCTGCTCGTCGTCGAAACGTTGCTCGTCGCGACCCACGTGCGACCGCGACACACCCCGCGACCCACTCGAGACCCACCCGCGACCCACCCCGCGCCCACCCCCTCACTCTTATCAACAACTGCGGGGTGCTACATATACATACACATCACATGTGCAGGCAAGGGTGCAAGGGCACCCTTGACAAGTTGCTCGTCCTTATGATTGATATGGGGCTGACTGCATCGACTTGGCAGGTCGGGGGCCGCGCCACCCCCCCGCAACAGACGTCCGAGGACCCGCAAGAAGCAGCAGAACATCACCGCGGAGCTCCGAGCACTTCCACCTGTGCAGGCGCCCTGCTTCGAGAACCGCCGGCCCTCGAGCGCCGATCCTCTTCCCGCGGCGGCGAGGGGGCTGCTGCAAAGGGCGGGGGGGGGGGCCCTCCCGCTCCTCCTGGGCCATCAGGGAGTCTATGTCGTCCTGCTGGGCCTGGCGCCCCGCGGGGTGCAGGGGGGCCCGAGGGCCGAGGCCCCGGGCTCGAGGAGCAGGTCGGCGGATCGAGGACAGGGGAGGTCCGAGGAGGCGGAGGGGAAGGAGGGAACTCGAGGGCCGAGGAGACGGTGACGGAGGGGGAGGAGGAGGAGGAGGAGGAGGAGGAGGAGGAGGAGGAGGAGGAGGAGGAGGAGGAGGAGGGAGGAGGAAAAAGAGGAGGAGGAGAGGAGGAGGAGGAGGCGGAGGTGGAGGAGGAGGAGGAGGAGGTGGAGGAGGAGGAGGAGGAGGAGGAGGAGGAGGAGGGAGGATGAGGATGAGGAGGGAGAAGGAGAAAGGAGGAGGAGGAAAGAGGAGGAGGAGGAGGAGGAGGAGGAGGAGGAGGAGGAGGAGGAGGTGGAGTGAGGAGGAGGAGGAGGAGGAGGAGGAGGAGAGGGAGGAGGTGGAGGAGGAGGAGGAGGAGGAGGAGGAGGAGGAGGAGGAGGAGGGGGAGGGGAAGGAGGGGAGGAGGAGGAGGAGAGAGGAGGAGCAGGAGGAGGAGGAGGAGGAGGAGGAGGAGGAGGAGGGCTAGGAGGAGGAGGAGGAGGAGGAGGAGGAGGAGGAGGAGGAGGAGGAGGAGGAGGGGGAGGTCGGGAGGGAGCAGGAGGAGGGGGAGGTCGGGAGGGAGCAGGAGGAGGAGGAGGAGGAGAACCAGCAGCGGGAGCAGCATGAGGAGGGAGGAGTGATGGAGGAGGTTCTGCCCCAGGACGAGAAGGAGAGCAAGGAGGGGAGGGCGGAGGGGAGGGAGGGCAGAGGGAGGGCGAGGGAGGTCCTCGAAGGCCTCTGGAGGCATCCGACATCCTGAGCACCAACGCAAACGCAGAAGCCGTCCAAACACCGCGGTTCAGGAGGAAGAAGTGCCCAGATTTCCGACGCAGTTCTTTCTCCAGCACGGGGCTCCCAGAAGCCACGACCTCCGCTCCACATCCCGAGCGCCGCTCTCTGACGGCCCCCGGGGGCGGCGAGGGCCCCCAGGCGCCGCAAGCGGCGGGCAACCTGTGCATCGCCCTTTTGTGCAATGACTACTTTGACGGTCTGGCTTTCGGGGCACACACAACTCGGGAGACCCGCGGCCGTTCGGGACGATCTGGTCGCCCCCGGGGCGCCTCTCGGCGAGGCGCAGCCGCTGGAGGGCACTCCGGGGCTGGCAGACCGCGGAGGACCGGACAACAAAAACCAAAACCTGAATCTGGAACTGCGAGGCGCGGCCAACGACGACGACGACGACGACGACGACGACGACGACGATGACGACGACGACGACGACGACGACGACGACGACGACGACGACGACGACGACGACGACGACGGCAATCACGTCGACGACGACGACGACGACGACGGCAATCACGTCGACGACGACGACGACGACGACGACGACGACGACGACGACGACGACGAGCGCGGCCTTGATCAGCCGCTCCTCGGCCGCCTTGGCCGCCATCCGCTCAGCGGCCTCGTCCAGCGCCTCCTGGGGGGCGGCGGGGAGGCGCCAGCGGGGCAGCGCCAGCCCCCTCCTCCTCCTCCTCCTCCTCCTCCTCCTCCTCCTCCTCCTCCTCCTCCTCCTCCTCCTCCTCCTCCTCCTCCTCCTCCTCCTCCTCCTCCTCCTCTCCCTCCTCACCCTCCTCCTCCTCCTCCTCCTCCTCCTCCTCCTCCTCTCCTCCTCCTCTCCTCCTCTCCCCTCCTCCTCCTCCTCCTCCTCTCCTCCTCCTCCTCCTCCTCCTCCTCCTCTCCTCCTCCTCCCCTCCTCCCCCTCCTCTCCTCCTCCTCCTCCCTCCTCCCCTCCTCCTCCTCCTCCACCTCCTCCTCCTCTTCTCCTCCTCCTCTCCTCCTCGTCCCTCCTCCTCCTCCTCTCCTCCTCCTCCTCCCCCTCCTTCCTCCTCCTCCTCCTCCTCCTCCTCCTCCTCCTCCTCCTCCTCCTCCTCCTCCTCCTCCTCCTCCTCCTCCTCTCCCTCTCTTCTGTGTCTTCTCCACGCCCCCCCCCCCTCAGTCTCTTCATCGCCACCCTCCTCATCTCTGCTTCCCTCCTCCTCGTCCTCCTCCTCCTCATCATCCTCTCCTCCTGCTCCTCCTCCTCCTTCCTCCTCTCCTCCTCCTCCTCCTCCCTCCTCCTCCTCCTCCTCGCGTCCTCTCCTCACCTTTCTTCTCCTCACGCTCCTCATTGTCCTTATCCCCTTCTCCTCTCCCTCTGCTCCTCCTTCTCCACCTCGTCGTCCTCCTCGTCCTTCTCCTGCTCTCCTCACTCCTCTCTTCTCTTGCCCTCCCCCTCCCCCTCCTTCTCCTCCTCCTCCTCCTCCTCCTCCTTTCCTCTTCCTAGTAAGTAGATTCTCCCTGTCGCGCCCCGAGGCCAGTCGAAGGGCGGGCTGGGCCTTCCGCCGGAGACGATCTTACCACCTCCGATCCTGGAGCACACAAAAGCCGGCAGCCGCTTCACACGTCGAGGGCGCGCCGCCTCCAGCATGTGGCTGTCGCAGCATTGGCGCCGCGCACCTTCGTCTCAAACACCCGCAGCGAGGTTCGCTGATGGCGAGCGGGTGCTTTCTTGAAATGTGGCTCTCGCCTCCGCGCCGCGCACGATCGGCATGACAAGCAAGAGCCTCGTGGCCCGAGGGCGGGTGATTCTAAAACATGTGGCTCTCGCCGCAGCGCCGCGCACACCAGTCTTAAGCAGTTACAAGCATGTCACGGATTGATGGCGGTTCCTTTCCAAAATGTTGCTCTCGCGTTCACGCCGCGCATTTCTGTCTTAACAAATTGCCGGAACTTCGAGGATTAAGAGCGATTCATTTTCAAACTGTGGTTCTCGCCTTAGCGCCGTGCACTTTCATCTCAAAGAGTTGTAGAAAATTCACGGTTTCCCATGGTTGACGTGCCAAAAAACGGCGTCCTGGAGCGATTCAAGACTGTCAGGGCACAACGGTTACGTTGACTCGCAGTGTTGGAGTCCTGGAATGCTGTTCTGGCGCGATTCAGGATTGCCAAGACGCAACAGTCCCGTTGATTCGTGGCGTTGAAATCAAGGGAATGGTGATTGGCACGCTTCAGGATCTTCAAACGCTCGTCTCCCTAACGGGGCACTTCCCGCAGTGGACATGAATCTTCGCTGGGGCCTGTGACGAGGGAGCTCGGATGGAGGATGCATTCCAACATCATTGATGACTCTTGGGTTTGTACTGGTTCTCCTCATGCTCGTCGTCTTCTTCTTCTTCTTCTCCTCCTCCTCCTCCTCCTCCTTCTCCCCCTCGTCCTTCTCCTCCTCCTCCTCCTCCTCCTCAACCTCCTCCTCCTCCTCCTCCACCACCTCCCTCCTCCTCTCCCCTCCGCCTCACCGTCCCCCTCCTCCCCCGTCCTCCTCCCCCGTCCTCCTCCCCCGTCCCTCCTCCTCCGCCTCCCCTCCTCCTCCTCCCGCTCCTCATCCCTCTCGAGGTCTCTGGGCGTCCCGAGGTGTCCCCGGATGACCAGGGAGGCCTCCGGAGGTCGCCGCCGCAGGAATCCATGGGCCCGCAGTGGTGCCGAGAGCGTCCGAAAAGATGGCTCCTCGATCCGATCTTCCGCCCAGGTCTCCCGACGATAGCGATTCTTACACAACGTCGACCCCCCCCGGAGGGCGAAGTCCAGTCCGAGTCCCAGCAGAAAGAGCGCCTTGGCTCCAACTGGACTGGCTCCACCTGGACTTGGCGCCGCCCCCCCCCAAAAAAAATGCGAGGCTGAGTGCACTTGGAGACCCACCACATGAAGCCCCGTGGCTCCAACTGGACTTGCCCCAACTGGACTAAGCGCCGCTGGACCCCCAGGGTCTCGACACCGTTCCCCCGGGACCGGCCCTGTGCCCCGCTTTTCGGCCCCAGGGGGACTCGCGAGGGCCCCAGGTTGCTGCTGACCTTCCGTCGTGATTGTTGCCCGCGACGCGAGTCGGCGTGGGCCTCCGACTTCGAGGCGGCCAGGGCGTTTGAACTTGTTGGGGCCCTCGAAAATCGGCCAGGAGGGGGAATATGCCAAACCCGCTCAAAATCAGTCCCAAGACCCCTCTGAGGGTACATGTGGTGCAGCTGTTCACCCCAGATCAGTTTTTCACGGTCCCCCGGGGCCCGAAGACGGCCCACAGAGGCAGTAAAAGGCAACGAAAGCCTTCCCGAACCCAGCAGCTCGAACCCGCCCGCCCCTCCTGCTGGCCGGAACCAGTGCTGGGCCACCTCAGACCCCCAAACGGCTCCAAGCCAGTGGCTGATAACCTTCTTTCGTGATTGTTGCCCGCGGCGCGAGTCGGCGTACCCCCAAATGGCTCCAAGCCCCAGGTGGCTGATAAGCGTGGGCCTCTAACCCTCCCGCGTCCGGCGCTGCCTGGTACGCAACGCCGCCAGCCTGCATGACCGCCGCGTCGACCAGCGCGCCGCTGGCCAGCGAGCGCAGCGAGACGGCCGTCTTGGCCGACTCGGCGGCCGCCTGCTGCTGTTCTTTGGCCTGGTCTGGCGCCCAGAATGGAATAAGAAGAAACGGCATAAACAGAAAGTTTCGACGGTCCGCGCGGATTTCTTGGACCTGCGCTGGAGCCCCCTCCCTGGCGCGCGGATCGCGCCAGGGGCGGCGCCAGAGGCGCTGCCAGGGGTCCCCAGCGCAGATCCAAGAAATCTGCGCGGAGCTGCGAAAGCTTAGGTTCATGAAGTTCTTTCTTCTTCGACAAGCCCCGCCCCCTACCGCCCTCCTCCCCTCGGCCCCTCCTGTCACAGGAGCTCCTCCTCTGGCTATACCATTCGCGGCTTGGTAGGACGAAGCCAGGACGAGGACAAATCCGGGTAAGGATACATCGAAAATCCCCGATCTCCCGCGGCTCTGGAGTACGGCAGGTTCGTGTCGTGCCGACACCGGCGTTGGTTTCTGCCACCGCGGGGATCGTTCAACCTTGAACGATCGGCCGCTTCCGAAACGTCCGAATCGTTCCACATCGAACGATTCTGGGTCGCCCGCGGCGTTCAAGGTTGAACGCCGCTGGCGGGGTCGCCGCCGGTCGACACGACACTGACCTGCTGTACGTCTGAGGCGCCGCGGCCTTCTCAGAGCGTCCCGAGAGCGCTCCGGAGCGCTCTGGAACGGCTCTCTAGCCTCGCCCTGGCCCCACCCCGGCAAGCGACAAGGCGCCCCCCGCCCCCCGGCCGCCCTCTTCCCCTCGGCCCCTCCTCCCCCGGGGGGGGTGACCTCACTGGCGAGACATACCAGTCGCCGTCTGGGCCCGCGCGGCCGCCGCGTAGGCCCAGAGTCGAGCCCACTCGGCGGCTGGATGGGCCTGTGTCCCACCACGGCTGCGGAATCGAGCCCATTCGGCGGCGCTTTCGGCGGCCAAACGGGATGCTGGATGAGCTCACAGGGGGGACTCTCCGGGGGTCTCCTCCTCCAGAGACGAAGACCTCCTCGTGACCGACTAGGACGAAGACAATCATCGAAACGTCTGAAAGCCTCCTCCTCCTCCTCCTCCTCCTCCGTCTCCTCCTCCTCCTCCTCCTCCTCCTCCCCCTCCTCCCCCTCCTCGTCCTCCTCTTGTTTGAACTCCACGCGCCCCAAATACCTCACAGAGAGGAACAGACGCCCACCTGCCTCCTCCTCCTCCTCCTCCTCCTCCTCCTCCTCCTCCTCTTCCTCCTGCACCTCCTCCTCCTGCTACTGTCCTCCCCCTCCTCCTCCTCCTTCCTCCTCCTCCTCCCCTCATCCTCTTCCTCCCCTCCGCCTTCCCTCACTCCCCCCGCACTCTCCCCTCCTCCTCCTACTCTTCAACCTCCTCTTCAACCTCCTCTTTTTCCTCCCCTTATTCCTCCTCTTATCCCTCCTCTTATTCCTCCTCCTCCTCCTTCCTCCTCTTCCTCCTCCTCGTCCTCCCCTCCCGTCCCTCGTCTCCGTCGTCTCTCTCCTACCTCCTGTCACTCCTCCTCCTCCTCCTCCTCCTTCTCCTTTTCCACCTCCACCCTCCTCCGCCTCAACATCCTCCTCTCCTCCTCCTCCTCCTCCTCCTCCTCCCCTCCTCCTCCTCCTCCCGCCCCCTCTTCTTTCTCCTCCTCCCCCTGTTCCCCCACCTCCTCCTCCTCCTCCTCCTCATCCTCCTCTTCCTCTCCTCTTCCTCCTCGCTCACTCACTCATGGCGGTCCTGGGTTCACCTGTAGCCGCGCGCGCCTTTCATGCCCCCCCCCCCCCCCCACACCGAGTAAGGACCTGGGTGGGAGGGGGGCTCATTCAGGATAAGGTGAACAAAAATACGAAGCAAAGGTGAAAAGGGGCGATGGGGGTGGCGCCGGATGCGAGGCAGCACAGACGGAGGGCCAAACCACTCCAAGGGCGAGAAGGCAAATCCCCAAAGGAGGAAACGGGACAGCGAGGCAAAGGAAAAGGAAGGAGAGGGAGAGAGAAAGAGAGAGACGGGGGTTCGCCTCCAGGCCCTGGGGATGCTTTGGTCGCCCGTACCGCGGGAAGGAGGACAGGGGGTAGGACATCTTAAGCAGGAGGACGAGCAGGGGGGGGGCGCGGAGGTAGGTAGGTAGGTGAGTACGTGACGGTGCCAGGCGACAGAGCTGCAGCATGATAAGGGCAAGAGGATACATACCTCAATAACGGTGACGAACGAGGAGGCGGGGACTGGCGCCTACAAAAAGCCGCCTGGGAGTAGCCGCAGCGGCTTGCTCTTGCGGGTGAGAGGCTGAGGGCCGCGGTGGCTGCTCTTTTCGGAGGTGAGGTGCTGCAGTTAGCTTGCTCGTTTGGAGCGGGGTGACCTCCCAGGCGGCGCAGCTGAGGCGGTGGCGATGGTCCAGAAGACCCTCCACCAGGGAGTCTGTATTGCTATGGAAGGGCGCGCAGCTGTGGACAAAGGATGCACAGCGGAGGAGGAGAGGTCAGACGCGATAGGGGGGGGGAGTGCGCGGTGCGAACTGGGCCCTGGGCGCCGGCGGGGTGGAAACGGCGCAGTGAGCAGGTCTCTCCTCTCCCCCCCGTCCATCAAAGCCTCCACCGCCCCTAGGTCTGGTGCCCGCGCCTACGCCTGTCTACTCCAGAGGTCGAGGCCGCCGCGGAAAATCGAGGAAGCTGGAGTGTGCGAGGTCGGAGAGGTGGTTGGTGAGTATGCCCTGCCAGGTCCTCCGAAGTAGATAGGTGTCCACGCAGTAGATGGGCAGACGAGGTCGGATGAGCGGTCGGTGCGCATGGCCAGTCGGTGCATCCGAGGTGGATGTTGCCGCGGCAATCGAAGCACATGGAGCCTACGAGGTCGGAAGGGTGGGCCATGCCCTGCGTGTCGTAGATGTCGAAGCGGGCGTGGAGCAGGTGGAGTAAACGAGGTCGGGGGGGGTGATTGTTGCATTGGATATGTGGGTGAGGGGGAGGTAGTACCTATGTTCGGCGTCGGACGCGTGGGCACCTCGCGCGGCTTCGCACAGTGGCGAGGGTGGCAACCGCCAGTGGTTAGGGGCGTAGTTGGGTGACGTAGCCGTTGAGCTTGTCGAGAAACTAGGGGGTGAAATCGCTGGCCGAAAGCGATTTCTTTCTGAATGTTTACGACCGTGTTGTAGCTGACCTGCGGTTCCTCTACCATCGTGGAAAGGGTGTCGGGCTTCTCCAGGATGTCGTGGTAGTGGGAGCGGCACTCGATGATGATGATGATGGTGATGATGATGATGATGATGATGATGATGATGATGATGATCAGGATCAGGATCAGGATCAGGATGATGATGATGATGATGATGATGATGATGATGATGATGATGATGATGATGATGATGATGATGATGATGATGATGATGATTATGTGTGCGATCAAGGCCTGGTTGCTGCTTCGCGTGTGGATTGAGTGATGGAACCGCGTGCCCAGAGCTCGTTCTCCCTGTTGAAGGACATGTTGAGCATTGCGACCTTACCGCCCTCGTTGACAGTGATGGTGCCGTCGGCGAGGGAGTCCTCAAGCTTGGTGTGGAAAGGGTAGCGTATTGTGGCTCGCATCGGGAAAGTGATTGTGTCGGGGTTGACCTTCTCTTGGGTGATAGTCGTAACGGGAAAACATCCAGTGGGCTTCCTGGGCTCCACTTGCATCGGGGAAATTTGGTTGGCGTTTGCGATGAGATATTGATGCGTGGCGTCGGGTTGCAGGTGCTGGATGCAGTAGTGTGCATGTGTTGTTCTCCTGCCGTGGGTGCTTCCGGCTGTGTGATTGTATCGTCGTAGTCGGTCTTGTCCTTTGCTTGTGCTGTAGTATCTTCTTTGAAGGTCGGCAGTATTCCTCCTCCTCCTCCTCATCCTCCCACCTTAAATTATAATTCACCTTCCCTTCTCCCCCATAGGTCTCCAGGAGTCCGCGAGGCTGCCAGAGGCCCGAACAACAGACGCATTGCAACAAATTGATCCTCGACCCCCGGCACCAAACATCCTCAATCCGCGGCGCCAGATCTCCCGACCCCCTCCCTGGGGGTAGATTTGCGCCCCGTATCCATGTTTGATTGCCCTGGAGCTCGAATGCGGCCCCCTGGGGGCCGAAATACAATGAAAAACGCAACGATCGGAAAAATCTGATCGCTGGATGTCTGTCGGGCTCACGCTAACATGAATTACGGATCTGTGGATCTGGCGCGATGGCGCTGGATCCACGGAGCGGAGTGAAGTACCCCCCAGAACACGAAGCCACAGCCGCCCGAGTTGGTGATGGATCGCGCCGAGTCTGCATGGAAACGGGACCCGCTGCTGACCCACGCGCCTGAACACATGATTGCGTCTCTTCGAGTCGTGCGCACATTCTTTCCTTTCAGCAAGTCCTAGAGCGCCCTGGGCAATGGCATGATGACTCAGTTCGCAAGCGCTTCGTGCAGGCGGCACTATTACAGCAATCATCGAGCACATGATGTGCATTCTGCTACTGCAGCAGCTTCTGCGTAGAGGGACGAGACTGGCGACTCCATGCACAGCCCTCCCATAGCCAGGACTGTGTCGATGACCACCCCGTCCTCGATTACTCCCATGGCTAGGGCTGTGTTCTGGCGCACCTTCCCCCCAGACCCCTGAGGACCAATTTTTGATCCCGCGCTGTTGTTCACGGTCCCGGGGCCCAGCAAGGGCCCCCAGAGGCCGAAGATCGAGACCAACCGGACGTCGTGATTTCTCCAGGGGGAAAGAGCGTGCTGCCACGCATGAAGGGACTGCAAGTGAGAACGGTCAATGATGATGCTGCGATGCTTCTTTTGATTCTGAGCGGGCTCGGATGCCCACTCGTGCCCACCCCGTCTGGTCTTCAGGGACTTCGCATCCCCCTGGAAATTATGGGCGCACGATGCTTGTTCAACAAGCGATGGTACGCATGTGTATGAGTTAGCGCCGGCCCGTCGGTTCTGAAGCAGCCCAACTGGCGCTTTTTGAGCTCTCCCACGATCGGGCCGAAAAGTCACTGGAGGAACAACATCACCTGAATCGCACCCGGATAGCGACGCAGTCCACAGCGCGTGAAACGCCTCTGGGAGACGCTTGCAGGGACGCTTGGACGGATACGATACCAGGGGAACTTGCGAGCTTGAGAAAGGCGATTCGCAGGAACTTCGAAGGAGCTGCGGTACGGCTTCCCGGAAGCTCATTGGGAACGAATAGGAAAACGCTCTCGGGGCACGGTGTGACCTCACGCAAGGCGCTGCGGGGAGGCCTGCCCGGGAACCGTGGAGAGCAGCTGGCCTGCGCTGCGCTGCTGGCTTCCAGATCTGGAGCCCTCTTCGCTGTCAGAGAGCTATCCGGGAACACGTTTTTTTTATCCGCGGGTCGAGAGCGCACCTCTTCCGGTCGAAGCTAAGCGGGCCGCGCACAGCTTGAATCAACAAAAGGGGGCTATCCGCCCACGCAAGCCTGGATCTCCGCCATCCGCTCCGCAGCCTTGGCCATGCGCCGCTCCTCCGCCTCGGCCTCCTGCCGCTCCCGGGCCTGGTCCAGCTCCTCCTGCTGGGGCGGAGCCCTCCTCCAACCCTCCCTCCCTCTCCTCCTCCCCCTCCTCCTGCTCCTCCTCCTCCTCTTCCTCCCCCTCCTCCTCCTCCTCCTCCTCCTCCTCCTCCTCCTCCTCCTCCTCCTCCCTCCCTCCCTCCCTCCCTCCTATCCTCCCCCCCTCCCTCCTCCCCCCCCCCTCCCTCCCTCCCTTCCTCATTCCCTCCCTCCCTTCCTCCCTCCTCCTGCTCCTTTTCCTCCTCCTCCTCCTCTTCCTCCCCCTCCTCCGTTCCTTGTCCTGATCGAAAATTCCGCACTGTTGCCCCCCGAGGCCGGTCGAAATGGAGGGCGGGTTGCTTTCATCTTGCCTGAGCGCCGCGCTCATTCGTTGTAATGATTTGCAAGAGCTTCACGGATTGAGGGCGGGCCGTTTGCATCATTTGGTTTTCGCCTTAGCGCCGCGCGCATGCGTCTTTCTACTTTGCAAGAGATTCAGGGGTTGAGGGCGGCTGGCTTTGAATTTGTTGCTGTCGCTTCGGCGTCGCGAACATTCGCTGTAAGCATGTGCAAGAATTTTGCGGATTGAGGGCGGGTCATTCTCAAACTGTGGTTCTCGCCTTAGCGCCGCGCGCATTCGCTCCCAATTTTGCGAGAGCGTCACGGATTGAGGGCGGTTGGTTTTGAACATGTAGCGACCGCCTTATCTCCGCGAGCACGAGTTGCAAACAATTGAAAAAACAGCACAGGTTGAGGGCAGGCAGTCTTCAAACTGTTGTGCTCGCCCTAGCGTCGCGCGCATTCGGTCTAAACATTTGCAAAAGCTTCACGGATTGAGGGCGATTCCTTTCCGAAATGTGGCCCTCGCCTAAACGAAGAACGTATTCGTTTTATGAACATTGGAAAAATTGCACTGGTCATTGTGGTTAAATGCGCTAACAACTGTGCTCTGGATGGGTTCAAACTTGTCATGGCGCAACAGTTACATTGATTCGCGGTGTCGAAACCCCAAGAATGGCAGGCTTACGCGATTCAGGATTGCCAAGACGAGTCAATCACGCTAAATCCCGGCGCTGCAATCCAGAAGCCAGATTTTTTGAACGCCTCAACGCGTTCACACGGTTGTCCCCCAATGAAGCAAATCCTCAGAGGACGTGGCCCCTTGTAGGGGCCTGTGAAGAGGGATCTTGGCAGGAGGCTGTATTTTTACATAGTTAATGCGTTTTGGGTTTACACTGGTCCTCCACCTCCTCTTCCTCCTCCTCCTCTTCCTTTTCCTCTTCCTCCTTCTCCTCCTCGTCCTACTCCTGCTCCTCATCCTTCTCCTGTTTCTCCTTTTCCTCCTCCTCCTCCTCGCCCTCCTCCCACGTCCCCCCCTATCCCCTCCCTCCTTCCTCTTGGCCCCTCCTCCGAATAACTTTCACTGTAGACGCCCCTGAGGCCCTCAGGGCCCCCCGAAGGCCAGAACGTGGGGAGAGGGCGTGAGGAGGAGAGAGAGGGCCCTCCTCCGCCTCCTCCTCCTCCCCCTCGTCGACCTTTTCGCGGATTGCGAGGATGAGGCGGGAGGGGGCCCCGTGATGGGTGACGCGCGCGGGTCGGCCGTTACGGGGCCCCCTCGCGCTTCCGCCTTCCCATTTTCTTCCTCCTCCTCATCCTCCTTCTCGAGGGTAACCGCGGGTCTGGTCTTCGGTCGCGCAACCGACGTGGGGCGCCTGACTTGGCGCCTGACGGCCGTCAGGATCTGTCGAGCCTCCTGTGCCGCTACCCCCCTTCTGAATGTCCAGGCAACGCTTTAATTACATTGCGCAAATGAAGAGAGAAAAAAAAACAAAACGACAGGGCGGAAACAATCAGGGCGGGGATCCAAAAGTCCGAGCCTCGCTATGGGCTCTCCGTCGACAAGGGACCCGACCAAAGACTCAAGAAACCAGGGAAAAACGGGGCACGCCGAGTAGCGTTTAAACGAATCGGCCGCTCCCACGCACCCGAACAGATAACCAGAATATTCCCGGAATCTGTGGGCGGTGCACCAATTACCCCCGCCGAAGGTCTTGAGAACGGCAGATCTCCAGGCAGGGAGGAGAGGATTGATGGCGAGCCTCACTTTGTCCAAGCCTATCGAGAGTATCAGACCACGGGCGTCTGGACCCAACTGAAGGACACGTTTCTGGAAGGTCTGGGCGAGCCCATCAGGGCACAAGGACTTGTGGAGATCTGCGGAGACCACCCGCTGGGGCTTCAGGTCTTTCAAGGGCTTCAAAGGGCTTTCATTCTGCAGCTTCTGGATCGCCGCAAAGGCCCGGCCGCCGCCGTCGTGCAGGATGCGCGAATTGGGGAGCCCTTCGGCGGCCTCGTGGAGGCTGAAAGCGAACGGGCGGCTCTTCCACTGCACAGGCCAAGGTTCGATCTTCACGGAGCAGATAATAAGGGCAAGTGCTCCGCGTCAGCGCACAGGGCGACCGCGCCCTCGCGCCGAGAAGATGACGTGCAAAGTGCAGCCCGCATGAAGGCGGCGTGACACATCGATGAGAGACTTCCCACGCGCCCCCCCCCCAACTCACGTGGTTGTGCCAGTCCCCGTTAGCATGGCCGCGGTACTGCATATTGAACAGGAGCGGGAAGGCTCGGCACTCGTCGTGGCGAAGCCGAGCATGGGGATGTCGGAATTGCGCAACGCAAGGCAGCACATTGACAGCACGAGATCTGCACGGCCCAGCAGTTATTTCCGCCGCCCCTCCGAGGCCCCCAATCAAGAGCTGCGCCTTAAGTGCTTTTTCCACCGGCGTGGCCCAGGGGTCGTCGCTCGTCACCGCGGGCCCCAGGATCGCCCCAATATGCGCGAACTGACCACTCGCGACAACATCTTCCCATGCTGGGATCATCTCCAGAACCCGGGGGCGAACTTCCCAGGGGAGGCATGGGCCGAATGGGGCTCCAACAGGGACGGTCGTGCTCTTCGAGCCCTTGATACAAGGGCGCGCGATGACACGCGAGCTTCGAAGACGGAGAACGCACGGGTCAGGTGCGCCAGACGTCTGAGGACCACGCCCGCGTCGTCAGCACATGCACGCGCGATGCCACGCCGCGGGGGGATGATCTCGGCTCGGAACTTCTGAACGACAAGGTCCATCCCGAGGGCGAGGGGGAGGCTCGGGGCAGGGGGCCCGCGGAATATTCCATTGATGATGGCGAACAGGAGGTTGATGCGATCCCTGGGCTCCCCCCAGCACCCGACGCCCTGATACAGCCGCTCGACGGTAACTTGCACTTCCTGCGGGGTCGGCAGACCAGCAATGACCGCCGTCGCCCACTGCTGGCTGACCGACGGGAACGCTTGCCCGAAATCGCAGCCGACCAGCGCACGCAAGAGAGACGGGTCGCCCGTGCTATAGCGTCGCGCTCCCGCGTCTAGATCCATTATTTTGTCCCCGATGTTCCTGCCCGAGAACGGGCCCCTCTGGATCTCGCCGAGGCCCCGGGGCGCGGCCCTGCGGAGAGAAGCAGCGCGCCTCAGTGATGACTGCGTTGTCAGCGCGTTCGAAGCCCAAGACCAAATCGATTCGCGTTGGAGGCCAGTCTGAAGGCCTCGCCGACGTCGCCGCCCTCGGAGCCATTCAGAGCGAAGACGCCTGAGGCGCGGTTCTAATCGCATCCGAACGAGAAGCCTCCGAGCTACCGCCGCGTGCTGTCGAGAGAAATGCCGGCCCCTCACGGGGGGGCCGCCTCCGCGCCTCGCGGGGGAGATTTCTGAGCGGAAGGGTGAGCTTTCCCCGGGATGTCCTTCAGGTCGCGGGTGCTCGGGGGTGGGGGCCCATGATTGGCAACTTGGGGGCGCTCGACTGCAGGGGTTGCCGCGCGGGCCCGTGACCGGGGGACTTCGCAGCGAACGCCTCCCCACAGTGCTCTACGAGCTTCTGGGGCGCTCGGGCAGGCTCGGATAGCTCGCTCCTGCTGCTTCTGGAGTTTCGCTCGACGGCGGTAGATTCCCTCCTGCCCCATCCGCTTCCTGATCTCCGCCCGCATCTTCGCCCCCAACCACCGGGGCCTCGGATCGCGACCGATCGCGCCCCCCGCCGCGCGCCCATACGCTCGCGGGCGAACGGCTTGCAAGCAAGGTTTAAGTTCGACTGGGGCGCCGCTCTGGCGCGGCAGCGGGCCGCGATGCATCGGGCCCGTAGACTGTTTGGCTTCAGGGGGATAACGCTGATGCGAGCTGCCCGCGCAGCTTCGCGCGTCGGGGCCCCGCAGCGCGCGCGGGCCATCGGTTGGCTCATTTCTGAGGTGGGCGGAGCAGCCGCCCAGCAGGCGCTCTCAAGGCACTTCGCATTCTCGGCAGACTTGAAAAGCTCAATCGGCGTAGGGCGCCGGCGCTTGGGAAGCTGATCCCGAACGCGAAGGCAGACCCAGGCGGGGGGGCGATCGGAAAGACCCTGGGCTCGGATCACCTCGGGCCCCCAGGAGACCTGGCCGCCCGCAGAGGGCTGATTGAGGGTCCAGCCATGGGGCCGACGTAACTATCCGATCTGTGAGTGAAGCCATTCTGTTCCCAGGACGGCAGCGGGCACGAGCTTCCTGCTGGAATTCCACCAGGGGCCCCAACGCGCCCGGCCACCTGCGCGGGGGAAGAGGGCGAGGGCCCGCCGCGTCGGCGACAGGGCTGGGCACGAGCGAGCGAGCAGGGGCGCGGGCGAAATCAAAGCCCCCGGCGACAGGGGCAAAGCGTTCCAGCGGAGCCGCTCTCGCAGACGCCACCTCCGGCTGAATCTTCCGAGGAATGAGGCGTCTATCCTGCGCGGTAAGTTGATGATCGTGAGCGTTAAAACGGGAGACCCACAAGTGACCTTCAGGACCTTGAAACTTGGTGGGCAGAACGCGCCCTGGGACCGCGGCCTCCGGGGAGATGAGGGGGCGGGGGGGCCCAGCAATCCCCCGCCGACCCTCCGATCTTCCGAGCTTGGGAAAGAACGCCGCGACCCCGCCAGTTCTCGAGGCAGAGGGGGGGGCGGAGGGGTGAAGGAGGA